AATTTTTGAAAATAGGTTTGGGGAAGACAGGTCCAATTCAAAAATAAATGGGGCACTTTTTAGAAATTAGACATTTTGAAGTGGTCTATTCGAAAATTAAGAAATTATAACTATATCACAATTTAATTTATTGGTTAAATCTGTAAATTAATAAAAGTCAATAGTTGTTTTTTATATATCAGTTTGACATGTCAGTTTGAACTATAAGTTTTTTGTTGGAATTATTTAAGTATCGGTCCGATTATTTATTTTTTTCTCTTAGAATTTCAGTTATCTCGGTTTGATGTTGTCCTTATTTTTTTCTAAATAACTGAATTGATCAAATTATAAAAAATATTATTTTTTGTTTTTTATACATATATATTATATATGTTTAACAAAAAATAATATAAAGTATAAATAAAAATATTAAAATATTTAATATATTTTAGTAAATATAAACAATAAATTATTTCAATTATTTATGATCAATTCGATTAACTAACAGAATAAACATATTAGTTTGTTTAGTTTTAGTTTTGATTGCACATAAAGAAAAAAAAAAAAAAACAAATGCATAATAGTATTAAACAAGATGTACATTAGTGACTATTGTATTGCATATTAGATTGATAGCAAATTAAAGCGTTCAAGAATGCACATTAGCATATATTTTCACTTATATTACAATTTTGATTATTCTAGTACGGATTTTGACTTTATTTAAAAAAATAAGTAAGTCAATTAAAATAAATTTTTTTATAAACCGACTGAAATATGTCAAAAATATTATTGTTATATTTTACCTATATATATATTCTTTTGTTTTTAACGAACAATAATATAAAAGATTAAAAAAAAATTTAAAAAGCTAAATATATTTTTTCTTATATAACTAAATTGATAAATGCACAATAATGTTGATAAAAATACATATTGTTAAAGTTTTCTAAAAATAAAATGCACATAAAAAAAATATTCACTAAATATACAACACAATAATGTTAGAATAAATACACATTATCGTCTTCGATATTCCTATATTATACTTGTTCAACTAAAATATAATATACCATTTATTAAATAAAATTACTTAAATACTAAATATAATTTTAATATATATAATAATTTTTTTCGATTACTTAGGGTATTTCGATTAACCAACCAAATAAACCAAGTAATTTGGTTCACTTTTAGATTGGTTTAATGTATTTGTTACACAATAATGTTATACGAATCGCACATTATTGACTATGAGAGTGCACATTAGATACCGAAACCGACGGATTCAAAATTTTAATTTGAATTTTTATATTACAGATTGATTATGTATTTTAAATTTTAAAATTGCGGTTATTATAGTTTGATGTCATATTTATATTTTATATAACTGAAATAACTAGAACGACAAAACTACAAGAAAAAATATTAATATTTTCTGATTTATTTTTATATATTACGAGTGCACATTAGGGTTATATGAATTGCACATTATTGACTATTAGATTGCACAGTATTGAGCGAGGGCGATCTAACTAACTTTTCAATTGAAAATTATAAATTCCATTTCAATTTCCTTTTTTGACTTTTAAAAATTCGATTATGTCAGTTAAATTTCGACATTTCTTTTTATTTCGATAATCAAAACAACCGAAATATCAACATATATAAAACTATTATTATTATTATTTACAGCCAAAATTATAAAAATGTTAAATTTTAAATGAAAATATTAATATATTAATAATAATTTGATTAATACAAATTAGACTCATGACCAAAGAAACAAATAGCGCGCTATAGCGGCTCAACTAACTAACGCGACGCAATCTTGCATTTCTGCACTATAGCGTGTTACTGGCGTTGTAGCGCGCTAAATTGCCGCTATAGCTGGCCGACCCAAAAACAGCCAATGTGGCCCAGTAATTACCAAAAAAAAGTGGCCCAGAAGTGAACCTAGTCATTCAGCAGGGTAGCAGTCCATTCGAGTCTTCACCACGGCAGCTACGCGTAGGGCTTTTCGGCGGCGGCTGCGGGCGAGCACGGCTGACCGGCGCGGGCGA